TCATCATGTTGGCTATGTCTTTTTGACACAACTCCGTTTATCTGTAACAGCTTCCATACTTGCTGATATGACATGATCTCTAGCTTATCCTAGAGATTTATTTATTGCTTCAAACCTGAAATCAGCTATTTCTCCATGGGCTGGTTTCTTTTAGTGAAAATAGCTTATCTACTTAAAGTCTTTTACCTGATTCCTGAGAATATTAGTAAAATCCTCTTATTGCACAATAAAGAAAAATCAAGCCACAAAGCATTCAGTAAGTGCTGTATACAAGCAAATCACAGACCCATCAATATCCTTTGAGTAACCAGAACAATATCCTAAATACTTAACCTGCATAGCAACTTTGAATGTAACTGAAGAAAAGTAAAAAACACATGAAAGTTGAAGATACTATATTATCAAAAGACAGGTGCTCTTCACTGAAGAGATCAACACATCAAAGTCCAAGACAGATCCAAGATAGTCCAAACTCCAACAGATAGAAGGTTGATAAGACAAATGTTAACTTTAAGTCTAAGACACATATAAGGAAATAAAATCCTGCATAAATATGCCAACTCTTTATTCTTAAATATTTAAATCATTCATTATATTTTAAAATATCATTTGTTTTGAAATTAGTTCTTAGCCAAGAATACTTCAGGCATCTTATCACTATTCTCCCCCATAATTGGTTCCAATTATAAAAAAGTTATTACCTGCAGCAAGTTCTGAAGTTCCTCTTCCCTTTTATTTAAGCAAGATATCCACTGTTCAGAAAAACAAAGTGCCCTCATGTTCAGAGCCTCACATCTCTGTTCAGTCTCTTGAGTTATTATTTCAAGTTTACCATTGAGTTTATCACAGTGTTTTACAGACTCTTCAATCAATTTTGTACCTTCTTGGTTAAAATGTTTGAGTTCACGTGACACATCATCAGAATCAGCACAAAATTTTGTACTGTAAGAAGCTGTTTTGCTGATTATATCCTTAGACTTCCTAAAAAGGAAAATTACATCGTTAAAATGGAAACCAAGATTCAGGTAACTTGTCCAAGATCACACAATTTATAAAGTAGAATGAGTCTAGGCAGCCCAGCTCCAGAGTATATGGTATTAAAGAATCTTCTACATTAAGAATGGATGCTGTGCCAGTGTATTTTCACAGCAAACTGACATCACATTTGCCATCAAATGACCTCTTAAATTCTTTTTCTTTCTTTTTAAAAAAGATTTATTTAGGTATGCATACAAGAAGTATGGTACAAGCCAGAAGCATGGGGGGGGGGTGTGTGTGAGAGGATTCACCAGAGACAGAGTGGGGAGCAAAACAAGTGGACCTAACTAAAATATACTGCTGAGGGGAGCAGTATATGGGTCAGGAGATGTCTGCCATGCCATGTGGGTCAGCTCCAAGGCCAGGGATCGAACTCAAGCTGCAATGGCTGTGGATAGCTTCATAGTGCTGTGTGTTTATCACACTGTGCCACCAGGTAGAGTCCAACTGCTTCTTTTTCATAAAACTTTTCCCTAGTCCTCTTCCAGATATGCTTTTTCTTTGTACCTCTTACAGCAATAACTATTTGGTTATTAAAATTAAATCTACTTACTAAATGTTTTATTCCTCCTACTAAACTATGTACTTCTAAAAAAGATATTTTTTTATTTATTTATGTATAAAAGACTGGGGTGCAGGCCAGAAGTGTACAGGGTGAGAGGATTCACCAAAGACAAAGCAGTCTGACTGAAATATACTACTGCCATCAGGAAAAACACACAGGAAAAACAGGAGAGGTCTGCTGTGCCATATGGGTCAAATCCCTGGCTGGGGATCAACTCGTGCTGCACTGTCTGTAGATAGCTTCATAGTGCTGAGATTTTAACCCTACTCCTCCACGGAGGACCTCAATTTTGTTACTTAAAGGCATCCCCTACATCTAGCCTGTTCTCTAAATTGTCAAGTCATTCTATCCGTAAACAGTTTTTCATTGTCTATGGCTTCATATAAAACTGTTAGAATACACATTTTAAAGTAATTGATGATTTCCTTCTCTCTCAGAAAGATTCCTTATGGTAGTATTCAGTCATTTCAGAGGATCAGAGTTAAAACTTGGGGAATGAAAGTTACTCTGTATTACCATTGGATGGCACACCATGTGAATAATCCAAGTAAATGTGTTAAAAACAATACAATTGTAAATTAAGTAGAAATGATTGAAAAGGGAAAAGAAATGTAAGGGGTAAATATGGAGACTATCAGCACAAATCTATCTTTTCTAGAAAGGTACAACCTAATAAGATGATTAAACTTATTTATACTGTAAAACAAACAATTAATACTAAAGGCAGTGAATCTCAAGCTTCAGCAAGTATACATTTGGCAGCAATTACTGGGTGACTGATATAGAGTCCCTGGATCATACTCTGATAAACATTGATATGGACAATAAATGTTAGGAAAACAAGAAAAATAATTTACATTGGCCTTAGTATAGTATAGTATAGAACAGTTTCCGCCTTATTTTTACCTGACTATAAAAAAATGTAGGCAGCCAGAAAAACCTTAATGCTAGATATAGGAATAAAAAGCCAGAAAACACTCTAGACTCAAAATCTAGACAGAAAAGTTCAGAAAGGAAAATGATATAATGAATAGAATCAACAGTATTGAAAAGCAGAGGTAGGAGTTCGACAGCAGACAAGGTGATTGTTAGAATTCTAAAGTAGCCAAGTTCAACAGAAATGTAACGGAGTCATATTTGTAATTAAGAAGTTTCTAGTCATTTTAAAAAAGAAAATATATAAGACAATCTAAGTAGCATGAAACAATCAATATATTTAGATGTATACAGTATATACAAAAGTCTGTATATGAAAACAATACATATAAAATGGGGAGGACAAGGGAAAAGCACATTATTTTAAGGTCCTTTCATTACACATGAAATAGCAAACTACTTGAAGGTGAATTATAAGTATTTAAAAATGTTTATTATTAACCACAGAAAGGAATACATAAATAAGATGGGGGATAACTCTTTCAGTTAAATGTTAACTAACAAATGGATAAGTGTTAGGGGGAAAGGATGTCTTGAACAAACTCTACAATACAGGTTTTGTGGACTCCACCCCCTACTCCAGTCACTGAAACTACAACTCCAGCAACACCCAAGGGAGGACTGCAAGAACCCAAGGGCAGAGCTAAGCAGCCATTTGAGACTTTGGGCTATAAAGGTGGAGAGGCTGGGCTGAGGCTCTCTCTCCCATGGCCTCATAGCTGGCAGTTGGTCCCTGATCAGCTTTCAGTGTGCTGTTGGGGTTCCAAGTCAGCAGAACTGGTAGGATGCACTGGCTAACTTATCTCTCTCTCTCTTTCCCTGGGTTGTTCCTTTTCCTTTCCCCTGTAAATAAACCCATTATTGACCTTTTTGTGTGTGCCTGCAGTACAATTGAATCTTAAGCATGTGGGTGAGGACCCACAGACAGGCAACCCAGTTCACATTGGGTTGCCCTATAACAGAAGGAATGATGGAAATAGAAAAAAATCATTTGGATTTTATCATTATCAGTAATTGTTTTAGCAAATGTACCATGACAACACAATAAATCAAGAAACACTAAAAAGAACCAGGTATCTAAGCATTTTCAAAGTACTCACAGGAAAAGTTAACCTTATAATGAGAAACATGGGGGATGTTATATCTAAGTTATCAAAATTGAAAAAACCTATACTATGGGACACACAGTGTGTCCCAAAGTATTTAAGATACACTGAGAAAATTATCATTTTTGTGACATTCTTTTTTTTTTTTT